GTTGGGAGTAGGTTTAGCACCGAGTGAACTAGGGTTCCAGTTTACCCTCATAGTCCTAGAACTGCGTGCCCCCATAGGTTTATAAGTCCCCTCTGTTGGGCATCAACTTTAGTGATCACGCCATTCATGCCTTTATACCCCTAGCAAGGTATATTGGGTCCTCTCAATGGGGCATATACATCGAACAATCATGCCTTTATACCCCTGGCAAGGTATATTGGGTCATCTCGATGGGGAGTATACATCGGACTCCACGTTTAGCTCACGTGGTTTTATGTCGGTTAATAGTAGCTCCCACAGTAAGACTCTATTGTATTTGACCAGGTCTTCAATTATACTTCAGTATTTAGTCTCAACATGTTATGTACTTGGTCATTGCATTCAGTTTAGTTCTTTTCAGTATATCTCAGTATTTCCATCATGTTCAGATTATGTCATTGCTTAGTTATGTATTTTTTTTCCAGCTTATATGTTTTGTTCAGCTTTTATCTTATCCTGCATGCTTATTACCTTCCAAGTACTGACGCATACTTGTGCTACATCTTTTCATGATGATATGTTCAGGTCCTCAGTATTCAGATCACACGTATATCGGTTCCCGATCCACATCAGCAACTTCAGTGGTGAGTCCTCATACTTCGAGGACAATAGACATGTTTTCATATTTAATCTTTCATTTTAGTTTTAGTTTTGCTAGGGTTAGCTGGGCGCATGTCCCAACAACTCTAGTCAGTTAGAGGCTTTTTCAGACATAGTTAGATTCAACTTTAGTTTTTTAGTGATTGTTTAGTATCACTAAGCTCTTAGAATTTTATATATATTCACACCAGTATTGTGTTTATGCCTAGGGGGTAGCCTCGGGGCGGGACATCCGTAAACATGATTATCATATCCAATCAATGGATGAAATAATATTGAATTTCTTGGTATCACCAATAATATCTCTAGGCATACATGTGTCATAGAAAAGCTCTCTGTTTTATCTTCTGACTTGTATTAGACAAGAATTAGTGCAATTGAGGCACATTTTATAGTAAATCAGAAGTATATTGATTTCAATACTTTTGTACTTTGGCATGATCGTCTGGGACATCTTGGGTATATAATGATGAGATGAATTATAGAAAAATCAAATGGACATCCATTAACGGATCTAAAAAATCTTTTAAATGGTGAATTTTCTGGTACGACTTTTTATCAAGGCAAGTTAATTTTGAGACCATTACCATCGAAAGTTGAGATTGAGTCCTATGTATTCTTGAAACGTATACATGGGGATATTTGTGGATCTATTCACCCACCTAGTGGGTCATTTAGATACTTTATGATCCTAATAGATGCTTCTTCTAAATGGTCTCATGCGTGCCTATTGTCATCTCGTAACTTGGCATTTGTAAAATTGTTGGCACAAATAATAAGATTAAAGACAGAGTTTTCTGTTATCAGATTAAGTCAATTCTCCTTGATAATGTTACGGAGTTTTCTTCCCAAGCATTTAATGATTATTGTCTACCAATTGGGATAAGAGTTGAACACCCTGTTGCTGATTTTCATATTCAGAATGGCCTCGCTGAGTCATTCATTAAACGTTTGCAGTTAATAGTAAGACCATTACTTATGAAAATTAGGTTTTCCACTTTTGTGTGGGGTCATGCAATTTTGCATGTTGCAACACTTATTCTTCTTAGACCGATAAATTATCATAAGTATTCTCCATTGCAACTGGTTATGGGTCAAGAACCTAATATATCTCATCTAAAAAAAATTAATGTGTTGTTCATGTGCCTCTGACACTACCAAAATGCACTAAGATGAGGCCTCAAAGAAGGTTAGGAATATATGTTGGGTATGAATCGCCTTCTATTATTTGCTATCTTAAACCATTAACTGAGACATATTTACTGCTCGATTTGCAGATTGTCGGTTTGATGAGACAGTTTTCCCAAAACTAAGGGGAGGAAATAGTGAAATAGAAAAAGAAATTTTGTGAAATTTTTTATCATTGTCTCATCTTGATCGGTGTCCTTCTATTTGTGAGCAAGAAATACAAAAGATTATTCACCTCCAGAAAATTGCAAATCAAATGCCTAACACATTTACAAATTTCAAAATGATTACTAATTTACATATTCCTGCAGAGAATGTCCCAATTCGAATTGAAGTCCCTATAGGACCATCCACTAGTGTCATAGCTAATGAGTCAGAAGCACGTATAAAGTGTAGTAGACTATTGGGTTCTAAGGATCAAAATCCTAGAAAAAACAATTAAGGAAAAGATGATACTATGAAAGAATACCATATGAAAGTTCAAAATTTGAATAATTCTTATATCTATGAAGGAATCAATGATCTTGAGACTTAAGGAAATAAGGAACTATCCATAAATTCAAGAGATGTTGAAATTAATCATAATCGATCAGAAATACTGATTGATTATGTCTTTGCATATATGTTGCAACAAAAATCATGCAAGATAGTGAGGATCTTGAACCTCAATTTGTTATAGAATTTCGACAAAGAAATGATTGACCAAAACGGCAAGAAGCAATTCACTCAGAGTTGAATTCACTTGTCAAGCGTGAAATTTTTGGATCTATAGTTCAAACACCTAATGGTATTAAACTTGTTTATTGTAAATAGATTTTTGTGTGAAAAAGAAATGAGAAAAATGAAACACAGAGGTATAAAGCATGTATTGTTGTACAAGAATTTTCACAAAGGTTTGATGTCGATTATGAAGAGACATACTCACTCGTTATGGATGCAATAACATTGCGTTATCTCATTAATTTCATAGTCCATGAGGGAATTGAAATGGATTTGATGGATATGGTTACAATCTATCTTTATGGATCACTTGATAATGAGAAACACGTGAAAATTTCAGAAGAATTTATGATGCTTGAAGCATGTAGTTCAAAATCTCAGGATCATTGTATAGTTTGAAGCAATCTGGACGCATGTGGTATAACCATCTTAGTGAGTATTTATTTAAGGAAGGTTATACAAATGATGCAATTTGTCCATGTGTTTTAATAAAGAAAACTATATCGAAACTTGTTGTACTTGCTATTTATGTTGATGACATAAACCTTATTGGAACTCCAATAGAGCTTCAAAAGGCAATAGATTATTTAAAGAACGAATTTGAGATAAAAGATCTTGGAAGGAAAAAAATTATGTCTTGATTTGCAAATTGAGCATTTTGCAAACCATATTTTTGCTCATCAATCTGCCTACACAGAAAAAGTATTGAAAATATTTTGTATGGATGAAGTGCATCCATTAAGTACACCGATGATTGTTCGTTCACTTGATGTGAATAAAGATCCGTTCCGACCTCAAAAAAAGAACGAGGAAATCCTTGGTTTCGAAGTACCTACTAATGTATCTTGCCAATACTACATGGCCTGATATAGTCTTTCCTGTTAATTTGTTAGCAAGGTATAATTTTGCTCCTATTAGAAGACATTGAAATGATATCAAACACATATTGTGATATCTTAAAGGGACAACTGATATGGATTTATTTTATTCTGACAATTGCAGTTCCAATCTTGTTGGTTATGCTGATGCATGATAATTATCTGATCTACACAAAGCTCAATCTCAAACATGCTATGTGTTTATATGTGGGGGTACTGCCATATCTTGGAGATCTACAAAGCATTCTATCGTAGCCACTTCCTCAAATCATGCAAAGGTAATAGTTATTCATGAAGCAAGTAGAGAATGTGTGTGGAGATCCATGATATATCTCATTCGAGAAAAATGTAGTTTGGAGTGTGATAAAGTACCCACCATTTTATATGAAGATAATGCAGCATGCATAGCACAAGTTAAGGGAGGATTCATAAAAGGAGATAGAACAAAGCACATTTCGCCAAAGCTTTTCTACACACATGAGCTCCAAAAGAATGGTGATATAAATATGTGACAGATCCGTTCAAGTGACAATGTGGCTGACTTATTCACCAAGTCTCTACCAATTGCAACTTTCAAGAAGATGGTGCACAAGCTTGGAATGCAAAAGATTCAATACTTTAAATAGATGTTCTCATTAGGGTGAGTTAATACGCGTTGCACTCTTTTTCCCTTATGAGGTTTTGTCCCACTGAGTTTTCCTTGTAAGGTTTTTAATGAGTCAGCCGATGCATGTTATTAGAAATGTGTACTCTTTTCCTTCACTAGAGTTTCTCTTTTTTTGATGTTTTTTAAGTAAGATTTTTAACGAGGCACATTATCTATTAATTAGACATTCAAATGAGAGTGTTATAATTATAGTGAATATCTATCTTTTAGAGAATATTTAGAAACCCTAACTTTACTTTAGGACCAAGACAATCAAATTTTACAAGTAGCATTTGAAAGTTACAAATGGACGAATTGAACCAAATTTGGATGGATTAAAACAGGTTAGAGCACTAATTTAACTGCTTGTAACAAATTACTAACATCTTTTCTTTTCTGGGTTTATCTTACATGCACCGATACTGTATGATTTTTCCCACAAACATATCAGGTCGGCAAAACATATTTTTTAATAATAAGTGAGATTCGTAATCTGAAAATAAAATACAGATTTTACTTCAGGTAGAATATGCTAAAACTGAAAGGAGGAAAAAAAACTATATATAAAATTAATGTGTGATAAAAGCTTGTCAATCAGATTAATTATCACTGATGCGGCTTACTATGTATTGTTACCTGTAATTGACTTGGACGTTGTTTAATAATATAAAATTCAAGATAATTGGAATTAAAATGCTGAAAAAGAAGTTGGATTAGCTTGAACATGCACCCTCAAAATTACAGAGGGGCAGAGCCGCAGCGCTAGTATACCACTTATGGGTTCGGCCGAACCTAATAAGGTCAAAATTCTATATTTATCTCGAGATCTCTGTTGAATATATACAAATTATTGATTTAGAACCGGTAATTTAAATAGACTAAAATTTTGAACCCATTAACTTCAAATCAGCAATAAAAAATAGAGAGACGGAATGAAGAATCAATGCCGTTACCAATTTCAACCAAAGTTGTTACATCATACGGTTAAAATCTGGGACGACAAGCAACGTTAACAATCAAGTTTTCCATAATCTAGTTCCAAATTCAATCAACTACATTATTAGGACTCAATTTATGCCACCCTCTAACGATTTGGACGATACGAATAAGGAAATGTCACGTCCCTATCAATTCTAGCAAGAAAATTTTCTACCATGGCACTTGGTATACTTCTGAATTCAAATATTGCAGAGTATGCAGCTGAGATCCATGTTGTACGATGGACCAATAGAGACCTGATTTGATCTTTCTTCCAACAATAATGTCATCAAAAAGGGTTATTCAATGGCTTAAATTATCCCACCTCCAACACATGAAAAAAGGGGTCAACTTTGACCACAACAAAACATTTGTATGTCTCCAGGGATAAAATGAGGATAAAATTGGGGTTTTATAGTCATACCCGTTGAACTTTATCTTCATCCACTCGTCTAACAAAGGTAGCTTGTGCAATGGAACTTAGTGATTGTACAACATCAACTGTGTGGGTATCCATCATCGTATATGACGACATCTTACGCTTTATGCAAGGAAAAATCAGTTATGTTAACCGAGCTAACATGGTACTGAGTAACACTTATTACTACTCCTAACTAATTTTTCATTAGACGAGGAGTTTAAATCCCGTGAAACAACTTTCTTGTCAGTCTAGTGTTCCCATTTTCTACTCATCAGTGTCTCCCCTGTCTGCTAAAACTTCTATCAATATTCAATTATCAAGAACCTGCCCCTAAAGGGGACAAAACAAATACACTTATTAACTGGGAAGAAATAGAGGAATTCCTTCATTTACCTTTTGTATCTAGAAATCTAGAAGGCATTTAAGATAGTCTTCATGAGACCTTGAGTAACTCGTGGAATGCCTCTTGGGGTATATCGACGGATCCCACTCGCTTCATTCGCTTCTTCCCTTCTTTCTGTTTCTCCAACAACTTCCTCTTTCTTGTAACATCACCACCATAACACTTTGCCAGAACATTTTTTCTCATAGCAGAAAGCCTGAAACAAGATATATAAATCAAACAGCACTACAACCGTTTATCTCTGAAACTTAGCCCAAAAAATTTTAATACTCTAAAAAAGTATACATCGCATATAGAAGAAACAACATCGGGTGAACCACCCCATTCCTCCTCCTGCAAAATACAAAACTGGACAAGGGAAGGGAGTAAAAGCATGAACATGTATTCCAAAATTTCCCTGTTCCTACAAACTTTTTTTTCCCTACTATACTTAAAAATCTAAAGATTTAAAAAGGTTGTTGTCTACTATCAAAAAAGTGTTGCTTGCAGACTCTGAAAGAGAAGAAAAAGCTGAGACTGGGAACAAGGTGGAATAAGATTGCCAGTTAAATCCCTAATCTAGTAAGCAATCAGCCAAAAACAGCTGTTCAATAGCATGTTTTTACATCAATGGTGGCCACTCATCATGGGGAGGAAACCATAAATAATCACCACTGTTTTGTATAATAACAGAAGTGTTATAGAAAAAAGCTGAAACAGTGATAATTATATTTCACAGGATAATGTAATAGTCTGCCAGATGTATGATATCGATGGAGAAATTAAACTTACGTCTCCCGGGCTATGACCTTAGATCCAATAGCAGCTTGTATGATAATTTCAAACATCTGCCTGCTCAATTATCTGTATTAGAACTGGAAGTAGCAATAAAACAAAATGAAACAGATAACAGGGTGAATAAGTCAACCTGTCTATAAATGTTTTAAGCTTCTCCACAAGTTCACGGCCAACACGTGGAGCTTTTGATTTGTGGACAATGGTTGCCATGGCATCAACTGGTTGGCCATTAAGGAGAATATCCAGCTTCACCAAATCCGAAGCCTGATATCTATCCCCAAAAAAAATAAAAAAATAAAAAAGCGGATGAAAGGAAAAGAGGAAGCAGCAAAATTGGATCAGAAGCACTTGCAACTAGAAAAAATTGTTGTGGAAAACTTTTATGCTGAATGAATTAAACTTTTATGTGCGGAAAGATGCTCAGGTGAGTCCTTCATACTTATATATTTGATGGATAAATTTCTGTGTTGTGTTTGTATGTTCCTGAGAGAAACAGCACAAGAAGAGGAGAGGAGCGAACTTACTCTGAATCCTCATAATCAAACGAAGCATATCCTGATGTTATACTTTTCAATTCATTGTAGAAGTCCACAACAATTTCCCTCAGAGGCATGCGATACTTCATGAAAGCTCGCTGGCTGCACAAGATGGGAAAACTTGTATACCATCAATCTTGAAGTTAATAAGAACTTGAGAAAAGATGAAAAGAAATTCCTCATGAAAGTCCAAAAAAAAAAAATCAATTTCAAATCAAGCATGCTTTGCTATATAAAGTGTCTTTCCAGAAGATATTTGGCAAGACATTAAAAGGCTGTAATCACCCACTAGTTTCACTTAAAAATAAATGATTGAAAAGAAAAGAATAAAGTTAAAAACAAAAAGAAAATGTAATAGCTTTCATGTCACTTTGTGTGCCACATACTTGGTACATCTTTCATGAGCAGACATCTAATCAGCATAAGAAGAAACAGTTACCTATCAATGAATGAGTACTCCAATTGCTCCCCGCGACGCTCAGCGCATAAAGTGATAACAGACCCCACATACCTTAAAGCAGTAGTATGATGTGAGTAAAAATATACTTCCTTAACACCAAACAACCCCAAGCAGAGAGATCAAGAAATTGCCACAGATTGCTGAGGAAAATAACAAAAAATGTTAAGTTCATGGGAGCTTACTCACTAGGGATTATAATAGTAGCTAACACAGTAGGTTCCCAGCAGGCAATGAGTCTATTTTTGGGGTTTGAAGGCAAAGCAGCTGGATTCTGAACCTGTAATTTGCTACAAGGATAGAACCGAGAAAAGGAGGAAACAGAAGAAGATTGGTAAGGTTGGTAAAGAGCGTTTAAAAAGGTAAAAGCATGCAGGTAACCAACCATACCTTCCATCTGAGTACTCAAAAATATATGGCACTGTAGGAACAGTGGAAATGACATGTGCTCCATGTTCCTGTCAGCCATTACACTAAATAATCAACTTCTGAAGTAAAATACAGTGCTATCTTTCAATTGTTCCAAACAGAAAAAGAAACCATAAGAGGAAGGAATCAAGACTTATTTCTTCTTCCTTTTTTATCTTTTTGTACAAGTGTGTGCACGTGCACGAGAGAGAGAGAGGGGTTCCAACAAGAGAGACCAGCATCTGGAGAAGTAATTGCGTATGCAAGAGATAGGTTGTCTTCCTTGTTTGATATTCATCAATTCAGGTTTTAACTGAGGCAAATACATTTAAAATGACTTTATGAACATGCCTGCTCAAGTCGCTGATGAAAAACATCCATGTGAAGTAAGCCCAAGAAACCACATCTGTTAGATGGGGTTAAGAGACTAAATTAGGAACAATAAATGAAGTTAAAATATAATGTCAAGAAGTACGATTTATCCATACCTGAAACCCAGACCTAGAGCTGTGCTGCTTTCTTTAGTTACAGAGACGCTGGCATCATTACACGTCAGTCTCTCTATGGCATGGTTAAGTGCCTCAAAATCAGATCCATCAGCTGGATATAGGCCAGAAAAGACCATATGTTTTGCTGGCTTGAAACCTTCATGTATCACCAAGGAAAATATTGTGATGAGACAAGCTCTGCTAACAAGAATAGAAAAACACACAAACCATCTCATAATGAAATCTTTTAGAGGCCATGATGACATTGTGCATAGCTAAACCTTTCAGGGTATGAAGCTAAAACTGTTGATAGGATGTATTGTCCAATCATAAGCTTTAACATAATGCATCTTTTGCTTTTGTTTATGGAACATCAACCAAAATCTCTTGTGAGGCATTTTCTCTAGCCCATTTGGAAGATCCACCAAAAGTTTCCCTCTCACAAATTTTTTTGGGCGTGCGGGGAGGTCGGTAGGGGAAAGGAACTCGAGACATCATAAATAACATGGACATCTCGACTATGAAAGATATCTTCTCCACAGCCCACATAAGCAAGTTGCTGTGCTTTTCTAAATATTCCAATTTTCCTCTAAAATCTATGGCATAGACATAGCAAAGATACCTGGAAGGGGCTGTATAACTGTTCGTGTATGATGTAGAGTATCTCCAACACGGGCCTCTTTTGTTGAACGCATTCCGCTGACTATATATCCAACTTGACCTGTTAAAAGGATTCCTGTCGCCACAAGTTCTGGGTGCATGATACCAACATCGGAAACTTCATAACTTTGGCCAGTCGCAGCAGAGCAAATCTTGTCACCCTTGTGCAGAGCACCATCAACAATAGACACATGGCAGATAACTCCTTTGTACTCATCATAATATGAATCCAGCAAAAGCATTCGCAAAGGTGAAGTGCTTTTTCCAGGGGGTGGAGGAATTCTCTCTATTGCAGCAGGAAGAACCTGCTCTAGACCTAGACCAGTTTTTGCTGATGTCAATAGTACATCACTTGGATTAAGGTCAAACATAGATTTGAGCTGTGCTTTTACCCGATCTGGATCAGCAGTGGGTTGATCAATTTTATTTATGACAGGAATTATGGCCAGGTTTGATTCAAACGCGAGGTAAAAATTAGCAACAGTCTGTGCCTGCACACCTTGGGCTGCATCAACAACCAAAAGGGCACCTTGACAAGCTGCCAAAGATCTGGATACTTCATAGCTAAAATCCACATGCCCAGGTGTGTCAATAAGGTTCAACAAAAAATCTGTGTCACTGCCAAGGAACTTGTGACGATGGAACATAGTTGCTGTTTGGGCTTTAACAGTTATTCCCCGTTCCCTCTCTACCTAAGACAAAGTACAACATTTTCACATAAATATACCAAACAGTATCAGGAGTTAATTGCATATATATGAACAAAGAGCACAAGTAATTAGTTCTCTAATAATGACAAATGACAAACAGTACAGATTTTGTTAGCTGCTCAGTTCAAGTGGGGTCTTGAGGGTGTGTATAGTCCTTCCAGGGAGAGGTCTAAAGCAATTTTTTGCAATTAGATGGCGGTGGCTTTGGGGGATTGGAATATTCTGTGGGTGTTAGGTGGAGACTATAATACTATTAGATTCCTGGAAGAAAGAGTGGGCTGTCAGGTGGTGTTCAGGGAAATGGAGTTAAAGTATATTGATTATCATTTTCTTATTGATCCTCCTTTGATAGGTGCTAGTTTCACTTGGGCCAGGTCAGAAGGTTCTACATCTTTGATCAAGAGTTGACAGGTTCTTGGTGTCTACCACTAGGTAGGAGTTGACTCCAAATGTGATACAGACGCCCTCCCAAATTGACATTGCATCACCTACCTATCATGTTGGAGGGTGGAAGAGGCACAAGCATAAGAGCATCTTTCAGATTCGAGAACATGTGGTTGCATGTGGTGGACTTTGGTCACAGAGTGAATGATTGGTGGAATAGCTATGAAGTGGTTGGAAGTTGGAACTCCCTCTTTCAGACTTGCAAAAAAAGTTAAAAGTAACAAAAAAATTAGGATGTGGAATAAGTGTTTTGGAAGGGTAAAGGTCAAAATTAAGGAAATTGTAAATGAAGTTTGGGAGTTAGAGAGGGTGGGAGAAGGGGTGAAGTTGGCGGAGAGGCAGAGGTTAGAGGTTTTGAAGTGTTGTGGTCAGAAGAAGGGAACTGGTTAATGAACCACTACAACAACTATGTCTCAGTCCCAAACAAGTTTGGATAAGCTCATATCATATCATCATCATAATAAATAAAATACTGTATAACTGAAAATGCGTTAATATATGTGTATATATATATAACAATAACAATAATAAAAGTTTCATACAAGTCTAAAACCTATCCTTTACAGTTTAGTGTTTAAGTCAGTTTATGCATGCACCAAAGGCCTCACATATGAATGCAGCCCTCAGACTGGTCAGGTATTTGAAGACATCACCAGGTCTGGGAATTTTAATGTCATCTACTGGTGGAAATAATTTGAAGGTGTTTCGTGATGCTGATTGGGGTTCATGTATCAACAGCAGAAGGTCAATCACTCAATCACTGGATACTTAATCAAGTATGGAGATTCACTTGTTTCATGGAAGTCTAAAAAGCAGCTTACCGTTTCTAGAAGCGAAGCAGAGGCTGAGTACAGAGCCATGGCCTCAACTGTTGCAGAAGTTGTTTGGACTGTTGGTTTGTTTCAGGAATTAGGTGTTGCCATTTCATTACCAGTGCCTCTTTATTCAGATAGTACTTCAGCATTACAAATTGCTGCTAACCATGTGTTTTATGAGAGAACAAAACACATTGACATTGACTGTCACTTCATCAGAGAAAAGACTCAGGATGGCTTACTACTTGTCACTGCCTACCTCCCATCCTCCGAACAACCTGCAGATGTTCTTACTAAAGCACTTGGCAAAGGCCCTCACACATATCTTATGTCCAAGCTAGGTATGAAGAACATCTTCATAGCTCCTAGCTTGAAAGAGGGGGGTGTAAAGGAACTAACTACGTGTATACAAGTACCTTGATGTTATTAGCTATAATTGTATTATATTATACACACACTGTGATTGGTGCAAGTGTGATTAGCTACTTAGTTAGTTCCTCCTTCACAAAAACCTATCCTCAACTAGCAGCTATCTCCTATGTGAATCTTTTTCTTCCATTGTGCCATATCTATTGATACCAAGCATTTAGAGGTCCTTTGAGACACTTCCTTCCATGTGATTTTAGGTCTACCATACCATGTCCCCTTTTAACACCTTCACCTACCACTAAAAATAAAAGGTTCACCACAAACCAACAAAAGCAAGGCTTTCCTACCTTTTAGCTTTTAAAAAGATACTGATTTTCACCCCCAAGGCCTAGCTCAAGTGGCAAAAGGTGGAGGATTTGTGGCTTAGGTCGCAGGTTCAAGCCCCACACCATGCAAAGCGAAGCCCGGTATTTAAGTGGAGAAGGGTAGAGGGGCGGGCCCATTATCCACCGAGTTTAGAAGGTTGTGATTGGTCCGAAGGGCGGGTCACAGATGGATTTCTCGGTTTTCAAAAAAAAAAAAAAAAAAAAGATATTGATTTTCTTTCCCTAACTTTCATTTAAAACCTCACGAAATTAGATCTGTCATAGTCCACCTCATACCAAACACAATTTCTCTTCTAGTTCCATCCTCGAATAGTTAAACAGACAATTAGGTTTTTTGTTCATAACCACCATTTCAACCAACAGAAGGATAGTTATCACTTCAGATCAGCATCACTTTCCTAGGGTGTGAACATCTCTCAACTATATTCATTATTTAGAAGGGGAAAAAAAACCAAGATGATTAGCACTACTGTGTCACACTTCACCTCTAGTTCTCTCTCATAAAGATGTGATCTGGCATTTCAAATTGATAACCTCAAAGTACAAAAAAAATATGCATAAATCCATGAAGTACATAGCCTCTTAACCGAACTTATCCCCTTCCTTATACCCCTACATACACAACATACACAACCTCTGTCACAGACAAAGGATGAAAGACAAACGCTCCACAATTGTCCGTTCCTAAAGAATACGACAACGAACTCCTATGAGTGTAAAAAAATCTAATTCTTTTGTTTGTTTTTTTATAAGGGTGTGAAATTGTCATAATCCTCATACCAATATAGGACTGCCTTCATTCCAAGCCAAATATGTATGTAAAGCTTCACTTTCACCTAAAGCTAATAAGTAAATGCAAACGCATTACAACAGCTAACACACAACTTCCCATATTTGAGCCCGGAAATAATCATATTAGCACAAATGTTACAGAATAAAGGCTTCTGGACCCAGAAAAATGATCAAAGATAACCTCAAAACAGTTTACATGCTCGCCCCTAAACGCTGTCTGATTATGAGAGGCATTTTTATCGGGCAAATGGAAAATTTATAAAAATACACTATAAATAACAAAGCCAACCAAAAGTTCAAAAATATTCTGATTCAACCCAAAAGTTTTGATAAAAGTTTCTTTTTTTCTCACTATTAAAAAAATAATGTCGAAGACATAATTAAGTAATAAAAGTGTACTCTTTCTAATAGCTTAACTTTTTATATGAAATGGTCACACATTTCTACCCATGAAAAATGAATTTTCAGGTGTTTGACCCATAAGAAAGTATTACGCTCGTCCATGCAAGGGGGAGACATAATTAAGTTAACTTCAATAAGTAACCCCTGAATGTCTCGACTTCTAGCTAGAAAGATTAAAAAATTCACAAGGAAGAGTATTCCAATTTATCTGGCAATATTTCCTTTTTAGTCCCGTTCCAAAAAGAATGACTTGTTTCTAAGTTTGGTTACAATTTTAACTTAACTTCTCTTTTCACCTTTTAAAACCACACAAATGTTATGAAAATATTTCAGACGGCATGTTACAAAAATCATATATTATAGTTATACAAATGTTATGGCATATATGTCATGTCTTCATTACTTTCGTAAGATCCACATAGCCACATATAGCCCAGCCCAGGGTGGCCAATTGGACGCCCTTCGTCGAAAAATTATATTATGCATATAGAAAATTATACGAAATATATTGTCAAATAATTTTTCATACATACCCTTAACAAAATTTCTAACTTCTCCGCTACCTCCATGTCTATTCAAACTTAACATATACAACATACTCAGTGTAACCCCACAAAAGTGGTGTCTACAAGATTAAAGTGTACACAACCTTTACCGCTAACTAGAAGTTTACATATATTGGAGTAAATTTTTGAAGAAACAGGGGTTGCTCCAGTTCAAAAAGAAAATAAAATTGAGCAACTTCAAACTTAAAGAGCATTTTAACCATTACTTATTATAACATGAATGAAGGGGAATTTACCTGCAATTTATCTAAGTACTGAGGCTGACCGTGTCCTTTTCTAATGGTTCCAGTAAGTTCCAGAAGTCTGTCAGCTAAGGTTGATTTTCCATGATCAACATGGGCAATAATTGAAAAGTTACGAATGTTATCAGAAGGGTACTGATTCAAATCTATAGTTGATCCTTTATTGTTTTGGCGAGGACGAGAGCAAAATGAAGCATTTTGAGTATAAGAAAAATGCGATAAAGAGGTTACCGGATGAAAATTGCAAGTATAAATTGCAGCTAATTTGGATGTGAGAGCTCTTGAAGCTCTCTTGAAAGTAGTCATTTCCCCACGATTTGTGTTTGAAGAACCACAAAGCTGAGGGTTTTACATTAGGGCTTTGCGGTTCACTTTTTGTTTGATTAGAGAGACCAATACAAATTGTCAAAATGTCGTGGGGACGTCGATATGGACTGATTCACCTTAAAAATGAATTTTGAGTTAATAAACAAATAAAATAATGGGAAAATTTTCAAATCACTAATATTTTACCATTTAATCATTCATTAGCCATATTTTTAATATTTATTTAAAATCTCAATATTTTATTTTGTTACAAGGCTGTTTTATATAAAAAAAATTCTTTATTTAAATTAACATAATATAACTAAGAAATAACAAATTAGAGAAAATCAAGGGAAAGAATCTTTCAAATTAGATAAAATTGTTGAAAGTCCTCATTACTTCCGTCACAAAAGATTATGAGACCCAAAATAGGTGATTCTTTTACTTGTTCCTAAAACTCCACATTTAACTTCAAACTATCCTCCTTGTCCAAATTGTGATTGTTTTATTTTTAGTAGAAACGTCTCTTGTGCGTCATTATTTGGCCCTGTCTTTCAAAACTAATTAGTGTTATGAAACTCTATGATAATAACTTATAGTTTTATAGATTAAATTTGAATTTTTTTAATTTACAAATTTGAACACATGTAGTTTTATCTGTTATTTGTCATACATTTTTCACAGTGTATTTGTTTTTTTTTTTAATTTTGTAGCTTTTCTTAAATCGTATTCATTGTAATATGTATACTATTTGTATTTGTATTCATTCTAGTTTTCATGTTGTATTTTGTATAATGAAACTTGTATTTCTTTATTAGTTTGTATTCATTCCAACAGGTATGCCAAATGAATCTATAGTTATTTAAGAAACATATTTGTATTCATGTATTTTTTTCACTGTGTATTTATTGTTTTCTTCAGAATCTTGTATCATTTCTTAAGTCATATTCATTCCAATATGTATATTATTTGTATTTGTATTCATTCAATTTTTTATGTTGTATTTTGTATAAATAATGATATATAAAATACAAAAATAATATGATGGAAAAGTGACAATGAAATTTAAAACTGAATAGGAATTAGTGAATACTTGCTGCAATCATTCTTAAATAAAATATATAACTAGTTGACATACATTTGGAATTAATGCAAATTTGAAACAAATACAAGATTCATAAACTATGTAACATGAGATTTTGAATGAATACAAATATTAATGGCATACGTACTGGTTTGAATACAAATTGAGAAAATATACAAAATTATGGAATTTTTTTTTATAAAAACAAAACAAACTAATAGGAAGTTGTTCTTCCTATAAATAAAAAATACATAATTGGTTGGCATGCTTTTGGGATGAATATAAATTAGGAACAAATACAAGATTCATAAACTATGCAACATGAGATTTTGAATGCATATAAATATTAATAGCATGCATACTGATTTGAATACAAATTGAGAAAATATGCAAACTGAAAAGGCTATAAATACAAAACATACTAATATGAAACTGTTCTTCCTCAACTTGGTCATCAACAAGTTTTTCGAAATCTTCAGCACCCAATTTTTAAAAGAAATTAATAGTGTCTTTACCCTTGCTGACATTGCTATCTTAAACTTCAATGCGAGTAGAATCATGAAGAAACATAGATTTCCTATCTTGAGCCAATTTAGCTCAAAACCTACATTTTCGAATAATCCTTGAGTAATGCATGAATCAAAAGAGGAGAAATCCCCAAAAAGTTGATGATTATATGGGATACCTCTTGTAGTCCTCTTTGAATCGGACATTGGAGTGCAATTTTTGTGCTTTCCCCTTATCTAAAATCCTAACTGAAAATGGAGATATTGAAAAACACAAGAATATACAAAAATCTAAATAACTTCAAACGAAAACATAGAACAATAGAATACAAAAAAAATTGAAATCAAATCCCAAAATATCCGAAGAAATCCTAAAGGATGTCTGTCGAACCTATGCTTACCTTAATTAGTGGGATTGTATGATTGTGGAATTGTGATGTATAATTGTAACGACCTATTCCCGTCGTTATAGAAAAGCCATCGGGGAAAATTTTTGAGTCAGAAAACTTTTTGGTAGTAACTTGAGATTTCCTAGCCTAGTCCAAATTTGGACAAAATCGAAGTCAGTGAGGTATAGGTAAATCTGGTAACAAATGAGAGGTTTAATATTGAATGTGATTACATGAGTGGATAGCTAAGACGTTAAGGAACCCGTACAACTTTACGGAATTGAATTCGAGCGAGTAGAACTCTCGAAACCGATCTTAGCGTGAACATGTAGTTTTTGAGTGTCGTGGATTGAAGGTGTGTTGTGAAATGGGGATTTGAGACTCTAATTACGATATTCTGTCTCCGCGCAAGACACCATAGTGGGCCAGTCGCGAATTAAGTCGGAAATAAACCCCAAAAATGCCATTATTTTGTACTTTTCGTTTTTGAGAGCTAGGAGACAACCCCAGGCAATTCTTGACAATTTTTCACCATTCTTGAGGCTAAAGGTAAGGTTTTCGCTCCCCTAATCCATTTTTCGATCCGTAGAACTTAGAATCTCGTTTATATATTGTTGGGGGAGGGTTTTGATCTGGGAATTATGGTGGAAAAAGCTCTAATCTGGCATGGGGATCAAGGGTTTGACCTAGGGTTGATATTATTGATTATGATCCGGGTAATTAGGTCTTGTTTATTGATCCTCGC